TAATCAGTGGCTTAGGGCATCAATAATCTCATGACCAGTATTATTTTTGCAGGCTAAAGACATGTACAACCATGTGAATGAGTGGTTGAGACTAAAGGCTCATTTGATTGCAGATTACGCCTATGAGATAATAATGATGTAATTTGAAGAAGTTAGTTTTGATTTGAAGGGAAAGCAAAGTTCAAGTAATTTTGAACAATGAATTTATTGAATGGACATGTTTGCAATTTCTTATTTGTTTGTTGGTGTTTTTTAAATATTTTAACTTTTTAATTAAATATAAATATATATTAATATAATATTAGTGGCATTAGTTTTTAAAACTGTAATATGGTGACAAACTCTTTGTGTTGTGAAATAAATTTAATTAAAAACATCACTTGTTACATGATAAATTTTGCTACAAATGTTGAATATCTTACGGTATATTATGCAACATATAAAATGCATTGTAAATTATATTTCGTGACAAACATGACTAGTTATTAAAGGTATATAACTAAGAGCATGTGTTGTTGCAAAAAAAAAAAAAAAAAATGGGTAACAAAAGTTGTGCCTTAAACATAATATTCGCAATAAACATTTTTCTCGCAAAAACTTAATTGGAATAACCGTTGCGACAAATTGATTTGTCGCTCTTTTGATTTTTCGCGACATATATGCTTTGCGACAACATTATGGCGACAAATGTCTTGTTGTTATTTCTTACTTTCCGCATCAAACAAATAGTATTGCAAGTTTGTTAATATGATGAATGATCGAAAGATATTGCAGAATACATTCCGTTACTCATATAGGGTGACAACACCTGCAACGAACCTATTGTCGTTGCAAAATTATTTTTGCACAAAGTCTCTATTTATGCGACAACATTTTTTTGTCGCGATTTCGGTATTTTGTTGTAGTGGAAGAAAAATACAAGAGGGGATTAAAGCACTTCAAAAATTTCCAAGTAAATGTGGAAAAATGGGAAGATCTTGCACAAAGAATCCACCACTTCTTGTAAAATCCTTGAAACCCTAGTTTCTTGATTGATTTCTTGATTCTTTCCTCCTTTTAGACTTGTATAATATCCCTCAAGCCTCGGATTGAATATATGTGTATAATCAAACTTTACAAGTCTTCTTTAATTGTTGGATTAATGTACGTATTTAATAGAACAAGACTTAGGCAAAATTATTGTTCAAATTGATTTCCATCGAACAGTTTGAAGAAATAAGCAAATTCATTTTTCAATTGAGCTCCTTTTATCATATGATTTTATTCCTTCATCTTCTAATATTTACGATTAAGTCATCTCCATTCTAAAATAATTATAGTCGACCCGAGACAAGTTTAAAAAATTTACAATTTAGTCCCCAAACTTTTCAATTGTCGATTTAACTTCCGAAACTTTTTTGATTTTTACTAATGCTCCATTAATACTTTCAATTGATCTCTTGCAATTCGATTAATTTTCAATTGTTTCAAATCGACTCAAGTTGAGCTCTAAATAACCCATTTTCACATAAATTGTATCTAAGTTTGGATTTTCCTACAATTAACATAATTTACATAAATTAAGCTGATATTTACTCAATTTAGATATAAGTAAATAAGAATATAAGTCCAAATATGAGCACATAAAATGCACTTATCAGATATGAATGTGATTTGTACGTTCAGTAGAAACTAATTGAATTCATTTGGGAATATTCTATAGAAGGCAATTTTTAGAGTTCGAGATGAGAAATAGTTTCAGTTTTTGTTTCTAAAATAGATTTTTTTTAATGTAAAAATTGAAAAATGTATATTTTGTGAAGAAGGTTTGGGTGGGTTCAGGACAATGAAGCAGAATGCCCCCGTTTAGTAATAAGGGAAATTTTGCCCTTTTAGTGTGAGAATTATATTATTAAAAATTCTGTAAATGGTAAACATTTATGGTCTCCAAACAATATCCCTTCGGTCAACAGCCTTAAATGCTGTAGACTTGCTTGATTGGACACTCTTAAGGGCCACACTGGAGGATTTTTTTTTTTTTTCTCACCAGTTTTAGGTTTTGAGCGGTTTTCTAAACCTACCAAATTGGAGGGTTTTGATCGTTTCTCATATTCTTTCTTAATTTACTCTTTATAAAATAATTATTTCCAACCAATCTATATTGTTCAAACTAAATTATAAATAAAAATTTATTTATCATTTTAAAAAATGTGTATAAGAAAACTATTACTTTCAAGATAAGAAAAATTACATTATAATTAAAAATCACTTATAAGTAAAAATCACTTTTATGTTAAAAAAATTGTTATAAGATAAAAATACTACTAATAAGACAAAAAATCACTTAATAAATATAAAAAAAGTTACTTTGTAAAAAATTCACTCAAAATTATTTAAATGTCTAAAATTAACTTATAATTGTAAAATTTACTTATAAGTAAAAACTTATTTACTTAAAATTTTAAGTGAATATTTAAATCTATTTAAATTAAATATTAACTTACATGTAAAATAATTATCTATAAGTAAAATATCACTTATGAGTAAAAAAATTCATATAAAATAAATTTTTTTAATAAGGGATATATATATGTATATATATATATATGTGTGTGTGTGTATATATATATATATATGCGCCCCCGTTTGGTAGAGATTAAAATCAGATTTTTAGTAGATTTTCATAAAAAATGATGAAATGTGTGGTTAAAATTAATTTTTGACTTTGACTTGAAAATTTTAATTGGATTTTAATCCAAACCAAAATAGGGGCGTAATTTTATTGTATTAAAAAACTTTCAAAATCGGTGAATAATGAACTTCCAAGCATTGGTTGGACAGTTTTAAAAATCGTTACTAAAATCACTCAAAATCGATCCGCTTATAAACACTCAAAATTAGTACTTTAAAAAATGTTCATAATCGGTACAGTAGCATCCTATATGACACTTGAGATATACTATATTTATCAAGTGCGATGTTTAGCATGAATTATACCTGGCGGTGGTAACGAGCCAAGTCGAGCCGGGAAAAAAAAGCTCGGGCCGAGTCAGAGCTTTTTTCGGACTGAGCCGAGCCGGGCCCGGCCAAAAAAATGAGGCTTGGCCCACTAAATCCCAAGCAGGCCCTAAGGGTGCATTTAGCATCCTATATGACACTTGAGATATACTATATTTATCAAGTGCGATGTTTAGCATGAATTATACCTGGCGGTGGTAACGAGCATAGCCGAGCCGGGAAAAAAAAGCTCGGGTCGAGCCCGAGCTTTTNTACCTACAGGCAGCTGCAGCAGCAAGCTTGCTGCTTCAAAATTTTTTTTTTTTTTTTAAATGGAGGCTCGCCCGGGCCACGGGCTGGCCGGGGCTCGAGCCGACTCCCCAAAGTGGGGCTCAGTTCCACCGAGCCCGAGCCGGGCCCGACTCGGGCTTTTTCCGAGCCGAGCCCGGGCCGTCCGAGCTTCCGAGCTTTTTTGCCACCTCTAATTATACCTGTATGATTTTATAATTCAGAGTAAGGGAGGATAATTTAGTCCCCATTTAAATGGCGACTTTAGGGATATATATCAATTTGCCAAGTGCTTGTGCATAAGTGGTTTTTAAAAGTAATTTTATGAAAAGTGATTTTTTTGAAAAATGTTTGATTAAAAAGTAAAGGAAATTATGAAATATAATTTTTTTTAAACATATAGCTATAAATAAATTTAAAAAAAAAAATTAATTTTCAAAAAATCACTTTGAGACAAGCTTTCAAAATATGCTAACCAACGAGGCATATGACACCCTAAGCAACGTAGAAACACAAGGAAAATACTGGAAAGAAAGAGGATGCACGCGACACCTACTTATTTACTGGGCAGAATTGAGTTAGACCAGATTTGTTGAATTGGCGTGCCATATATAAGCTAAGCAACATGCTTAGTAATTAATAAATCATTTTTCATAAATATTATAATTTTTTTTGTTTTCATTCTTTTGATACCAATTACTTATCATAACATTACACTCTAATTATATGGATGAGATTGTTCCCTTTGAGATGAAATCTGCTCTCACGAATCGATTTTCAGTGTATGGTTGCATCTACATGACGACAAGTTGAAAGACTGTGTTATTGAGATTCTATCTCCAACTCAATACTACATGTTCGTCTTTTTTCTACCTTACTTAAAATAAACACAATGAATCAGCTTTACAGAGTGCTTGTCATATAATATTGGATACTATTTTCTTTAGACATTGTCTACTTTATTTATGTGGCAAAATTTTTAAAGAAAATCATATTAAATTACATTTGAAATGACACTGGTTCACATCTCAAAAAATGGTGGAGGACATATTATCATAAAAGTTTTTAGTACTCTTGAAATATAGTGCTCAATACTGTCAAAACACGGTACTCAGTATTCTTTGTCACCTCCATTTGGCAAATTATAAATAATTTATTATGAATTCGTAATATTTGAATTTGAACTAAATTTATAAACCATTAATAAATTTGTATTCAAATGGAGGCTTAATTGATATGTGTATTGAATAACTATTGGCATAAAATACACATGCCAATTGGACAATAACAAGTAGTAGTAAGTTTTCATACTCAGAAATTATTGTTCACTCAATTGTTATTCCCATCATTAAAAGTGATTAATATGGATACCAATGGATGCAAATAATGCTCCATTATCATTTTTATCTCCATGCTAGTTATGGACACTAGAACCCATAATACCCACGAAAATTTATGTCCAGACATTTGCTTAGAAATCAATTGCAGAAAATGACATTGCACTGCAAGCTTTATCACTCTTTCCTTTCAACCCTAGTAACTTTCTTGGGCCTCCCTTCTCATCTTTTTCATAATTAAGTCACACAAAAGGAATCAATATCAATCAGTGCACTAGGAAAAATAAACTAAAATTATTAATCTTAATCTCACACAGAGTAGCAGAAAGTAGTAATAAGGGCAGTCTATATTACAAACAGAAATAAGAAATTAAGGATTTTTATCTTTCCTTTTGTCTTTTACGGAGTCGGTGATCGGCATCCAAGACGCAGCTCTAAATCGAGCTCTTCAATGGCTGAATCTTTGTCTCTTTCGTTAGTATTGTTACCTTGGTTAGTATTGTCATTGCTAATGGAGGCTGAAGGTTCTATTTTGTTCGAGTACTCGTGACAAAGCAGCGATGAATTCACGCTATGCACAGCCCTGCCCGACATATCAATAGGCAGAGGATAATTAGGGGAGACCGAAACGAGATCGGCCGTAGACGGTGAATTTTGAGTAAATACACCATTAGGGTTACTCAAGGAATAGAAAAGGCAAAGTCCATTTGGTAAGAATTCTTGAGTTGGAACTAGAATTGTGGAAGAATGAGGAGATTTAGAAAAATCATTTGAAGAAGAAGAAGAAGAAGAAGGAATTAGAAGTGGTTGTTGGTGAAGCCTAGCACGATCCTGTCGATGTACATTCATATGACCACCTAGGGCTTGTGCGGATCGGAATTCCCTTCTACAAAAGTTGCAAGTGTATGAGCGAGGAGGCCAAGTGCATCCCATTTGGTTCCCGGCAGTAATGTCTTCCTCGAAGGCTCGTACTTCCCACGAATCGTCTTCATTTTCACCAGTCACCTGCACCTCGTGCACAGGCTGTGCCTTTTTGTTATTATGGTCGTTGTCGTCGTTGTTCCACATCCCAGAGCTCGTACTATTACGAGATTGAAGCTGAATCGAGGACAGAATTAGCTCAGCAGCCATTATCATAGTGGTAACATTTAAGATAAATAAGTTGATAAGAGATAATGTTGAACAAGAAAAGGTGAATACCGAGGTTAAATAGAGAATGGATGTTATCGGCTGATTGAAATGAAGACAAAACTAGCACCGAATTTATCAACAAACGTTTTACAAGTATGCTCTTGGATTTAGTACTGGAGATAAAGAGATTAACAATATAATAAGCCCCCACCCCTCTTGGTTATATGGTAATGACTATGAAAGTAACAGTGTTACATTGGCTTCAACGTCCATCCGTGTCAATATCTTCCTATCTTTTTCTTGATCTAAGTAATATTATAAAGAGAGAAGGAATGACGATTAGAGCTTAACCAAACAATAATGAGGATAGAGATGAAGTCGATTACTAAGAAAAATACTATTTTGATATTATCTCAAACTCGTTAGACGATGTACTACTTGTAAGTGTAATGTCCTAAGTTCAATCAATTTAGATTGTAAACACTATTAATATGTTTAATAGTTTTATTTATGATATATCTATTATTTAATTGAATTAATATTCTAATAAATTAAATAATAGAGTTTATTACTTCAAGTTTTGGTAACTTGCTAATCACAAGAAGTTGTGATTGTGAGATACAAATTACATATGATTGAATCTTAATTTATCTATGATCGTAAGCAATAACGAGATACGAATATCGTTATTAAGGTAAACTATCACATTGGGCATTTCTCACCTGTGAAGTGAGTAGTTGACGTCACAAGCTAAACTGTAGTGATATTTAAACGGAAACGTGAATATTTTGTTATAAGCAAAGCATTGGAGACCCGTTGAAGAGATTCCACATAGATATATTTGAGTGACAATGGTTAATTTTTAATGTTCGATAGTAAAATTTATCTTTCAACTTGATGTCATCATAGTACCTTATATGAGGGTAATCATACTTAGATGATGTTGAATGTTACTCTATCAGGAGTCGCTAATACAGTATCGTTTGGGTATATCAAGAGTCATATGAATTTTATGAATGAACAATAGATGATTCGTCAATCATAGATAGTAAGAGATTATGTTCAACATTTCATTCAATTATGTTGATAACAAAATCATTTGCCAAAATGTATTTATAATTCGAAAGGAGTTTTCGACTAATATTAACTTAAAAGTGGGATGAAAGACATGTTCGATGATCGAGATTGACATATATCCATATCTCGCAATTTATCAGATCATATTGAGGAATGTATTATAGTTTTACAATAAATGAACAAGTTAGATTTTGTTATACCACGTGACATTTCTCGTCACATGTATTTTTCTAACACATTGGTAGATGTCAATTTGGAACGACGGATGCGAATTATCGATAAATTAAAAATAACTATATTAATTTATTGATTATGATTAGATCAAAATAATAATTCACATCATGAGGTATCGTGATCAGAAACCTAATAGATTACACACAAAAGGAGAACTAGAAGAATAATATTACTAATTAATTACTTGGGTTACTTATTAATGGACAAAATTAATTATTTAAATTAGTTAATGAACAAAGCACTTGAATTTCTTTTTATAAGCTTTAGGATTTGAGAAAATCATAACTCACAATTCATTATCTTGTTAGCGCTAGAAAAGAGAAATCATAATTCTCTAATTTTTGTTTCTTGTGTGGATTTTTATTAAAGGCTGAATAATTGGACAACTTTGGATTGTAGATCAGAATTTTTATCCGCATAATTAACTAAAGGTATAATTCTTTTCACTGTTTCTTTCTAATCACAAAGTTGATCAAATGGTGGGAATTGATATATTATTTAAATTCTACTGTACTTAGTATATTCTCAACAATGATATCCAAGCCGACTTTGTGTTTGTTAGAAATTGTTTTTGAATTTTGGAAACAATCTTAATTTTATGTTTTAGTCCTAAAGGAATTGATTTTAATTTTCAGAAATCTGTTTTTGAAAAAAAATAAAAAATGGGTCGAAAGAGAGCTAGAGGCTATTAGCGGTAGCAACTGCCACAGATGATTCCATTAAAGTCACTATGAAGAAGTCTAAAGGATGCTTTAGGAAAGCTCCAAAATGACTAAGACAAGCGATGAATGACAATACCAAATCAAATGACCCCTATCATTATTTTGGAAGGAAAGTTCATTGGAAGTGGAATCGCAAGACTTACCTCATAGTGCTTGAATGGAAAAAGTCCTTTGAAACTTCCACTTCATACATCTTTATTATTAAGGTTTAATATGTCTACTTTATTACCTTCTTGGATATTAGATACTGAATATGGATCTTATATTTGTATAAATATGAAAAAACTAAATAGAAGTAGACCACTATAGAATGAAGAAGTTGACCTACATGTTTGCAATGAGCAAGAGTTGCTATATTACCTATAAGAGCATATTTCTTGCCATTACCTATAGGATAAATATTGAAATTAGAAAAATGTTATTTTGTATCCATCATTATCGAAATATTAAATCAATTTCATGTTTGGACATGAATTGTAAATATTAAGGACAACTATTGTTCCTTTTATCTTGAAAAACTATTTTATGATTGTGGTAAATTATAGAATGATATTTATATTCTAGATACTATATTCTATAATGAGTATAGAAATCAAAAGGCATAAAATTGATAACATAAATATTTTTTATACTTGACATTACAAACTTGGTTACATAAATGAGAAATGCATTTTCAAATTACAAAGAGATGAATATTGGGATCAACCGATTTCGAATTACTTGACAAATGCGAATCATGCATGTTAGGCAAGATCACCAAATTTTCTTTTTACTTGAAAATGAAGAAAAAGCTGCACAATTACTGGGCCTAATACATGTTTGCACAATTACTGACCCATATCAATTACTGCTAGATGAGATTTATTTATTTTATTGGATTTACTGATGACTATTTCAAAAATGATTATATTGATGAGATTCAAGTATGAAACTCTTAAAAGGTTTAAGAGATTCGAGCCCGAACTGGAGAAACAATTAGGTAAATATATTGTCACACTAAGAATTGATCAATGTGGAGAATATCTTAAAGGTGAATTTTTAGATTGTCTAAACGAGATCTAATTGTCACGTGCTATACATTAAATCGTCTCCCATCTAAATTGGTTGACAAAATTCCATACGAGTTATGGAAATGTAGAAGGCCCAACTGTCTTATATTAAAGTTTGGGGCTGTACGCTTATGTGAAGCACACTGAATCGAATAAACTTGAGGCTAAATCTGATAAATGCATGTTTGTGGAGTATTCAAAAGAAATAATTGGATATTAATTCTATAATCTTATTGAGAAGAAAGTGTTTGTCCTAAGACATGTCATATTTCTAGAGAAAAAGTTCATTCTAGGAGATGACGGTGGAAGCATGATAGATCTTGAATGAATTCAAGAATCTACAGATATAGTTGATCAAGTAGATGGGTTTGAGTCTGATCCTACACTAACTGAGGGACATACTCTTGATCAAGAAGTAGAGACTCCCAAGGACATGTCTGCTCCTTGTAAATTTTGTAGAATCATTTGACATCTTAGAATGTATGAATCCATGATTACTAGTCAAGTATTACTGAACCTACTAATTAAAGATATGAAGTCAAGTATTGACTTAATGAGATGGTATAAGGCCATGAAACACGAGATGAACTTGATGTACATAAATGAGGTTTGGATCTTGGTAGACCCCTATAGGGAAAAACTTATAGATTGTAAATAAGTTTACAAGAATGAGGTCGACATAGATAGAAATATCCATACATATAAAGTAAGCTAGTAGCAAAAGGATTATAAATAAAGACAAAGAGTTGACTTTGATTCAACCTTATCACTTATAGCCACACTTAAGTCCATTCGAATTTTACTTGCTATAGTTGCATACCATGACTATGAGTCATGTCAAATGCATGTCAAACCTCCATTCCTTAATATGAACTTGCAGGAGGAACTGTACATGACACAACTCGAAAGTTTTGAATCAAAATATCCGAATCTATATAGATAGAATCTCAAAAAGATTTTATATAGAGAAAATAAACTGGGAGTTCATTGATACATGATGTTAACTTCCAGTTGGACTAGGATGATAGTGAATCTCAGACAAGACATGGTTTACAATTAATAATGGAATGGTCAGTTGGAAAGTTTCAACAAGAAATAATCACTGATTCAATAGCGGAAGCCTAACACACAACTACTTTAGAAGTAGCAAATATTGTGGTCTGGTTCAAGAAGTTCATCAATGAACTTAGAGTGTTCCTAACATTGTTGATCACATACCTCTGTATTGTGATTAGACATGGATGTCGGGTGGGTCGATCCAGGTATTTTAATACTTGGAACCACCCATTATATTTCGAGTATTTCGTAAATAGAAACATTCGGGTCCTTATAAATACTGGAACCAAACCCAAACCTAAAACGTCAGTTCTTGTTCGATTTCTGTTATACTCATAACATTTTTTATATACATTTGATAAACATTTTCATATAGACCTTTTCAATACTTATACATAATACGCTACTACTCGAAAATATTTGTGTAAGGGAAAATTTTCAACTAATAAATTTTCAAGAAACAAATTAGTGGATACTAAAAATCACAAAAATATGAGAAAATTAAAACTTCAAAAATTAAATTATAATTTTAGAAAATCTTATTCGATCAATAAGCAAGGTATACTGAAGCATATAATTTAATTATGAACAAAGCTTAAATTCTTATACTCTTAAAACAAACTAACATATAAAATATTAATTAGATACATAACTATATAGTATCAAAAAATTACGATCCATACATTGAACTCACTCTATTTAAATAAAAAAAATGAAAAAAATATATATTTAAGAAGAAAACTACAAACTCAAGATAACAAAAAGGTTATACCACAACCTGAGCAATGAATACATCAAATTCAATTGTCATGCATTATGAAATTTTTTAAAAATCACTTAAATTTCTAAACAACGCAAGAAA